ATTATGACCTCAAAGCTGGCGGGTCCGGCGATCTCCGCCCGATCATCTGATCACTCGCCGTAGTTCAATACGTGGCGAGTGATTAGATAGCTGAGAGAGCGTAGTGTTGAAGAGGGCACAGCGATGAGAGTCGCATCAATGCTCGAATCAACGGGCAAGGAAGGGGTCCCATTTCTCGGGTTCTGGGCCGTTTCTCATGGTTCTTCCTTCTTTCGTGTACCACTCACCATCCCTAGGTTAATTTGAAATGGGTTGCTTTTTCATCGTGAATTCGTCCTTTAATGTTCTTGCTTTAAGTCCAGGCATGGAAGCCAAGAGCAATCAAAATTCAAAAATCGTTCTGTTTATGGAGAACATGGAAAACCCAGTTCCCACGTAGTTTTCACACTACAGCAAGCAACTGTCGACAAAGTGTGGATAGGGGAATGCATCATACCAGCACAGTTTGTGAAATCAAGTTTGCGCGCTATCGCAACATACGAGGGCATCATCTGGGAGTAAGCCCGGGAGGAGGCAAGTACTCCGGGGAGACCTCACGCATCCTGGTGTCTCCCCTGACCTGTCCAAGATTTTGTTTCGTTTTCAACAAAAAAAAACTGGTGTTTTACGCGGTTCCAAATGCATCCCCACGATGCCTCCGTACATTGTGATAGGGTCAAATTTTGTTCAGGTGTTCTTCCATGATGAGGGGCGGAAGTGGGTGGCACGCTTACCACGCGAGCGGTCCGGGGATCAAATCCTGGGTCGTGAGTCGCCCGGGCCAACCAAGCCTTCCATCCCTCCGGGGTCGGTTAATTGGTACCAGACTTGTCTGGGAGGATAAAAACACTGACTTGTACATCGGCTGGCCCCCGCAAGTCATTGTATAGGCCACATCGCATTCAAACGCCACTACGAATGTACAAATGGAAGTAGAATGCGTGCCGCATCCCAAAAAGGGATTGATCAACGGCAAATGCTTTATCCTTTATCCTTAATAATTTAGGTCATCCTATTGATGCTATGAAAAAGGACTAATCAATGCTGGGTGCTCCTTTCCATTTAGCACAAAGTACAATTGTAGAAAATGTGTAAAAAATTTTTTCGTGGATGCACTAAAGTAAAACGTCCGAGGCGGCCGAATTCGGCCGGTCAAAGGCATCCGCCCAAAAACTGACTGACATCGTAGCGGCGATGAATAGCTGGCTGATTGGCACGAGTCGGCCATGCGTTCCTAATTAATTTCTTTGGCACATCAAATGTGGTTCTCATTGTTGCGCCCACCCAGAGATCATATTCGGTGGTGATGTTCCACTTTTGGAGGCGTTCGATATTTCATGATGGTCCATTGCTTCTTCTTGGAGTGCACCTCACTTTATTCCCCGTCGTATCGAGCGAGCCAGAGTGCAAAGCTATGCACTCGCGTGCCAGTGGGATGAATCTTGTGGGTTACTTTCATAGTTATTTTTGTTACCGAGTTATATGTCACCATACCATTGCTGGTGTTTACACTTTAAACTTCTGTAAGCTTCCTCTAATCACCTCCTGTATAAGCTGTCGTCCCGTTGATCGCCGAATTGCTCGAGTGGGCGCCAGCAACGTCTCCAATTGTCCCTGTCGCGTGCGTGCGATAGTTGTCCAGTGGGCCAAGTAATCTTTAACCCATTCGCGACCGCGCAGGATTGCGCAATAGCAGCAGCGTCAGGAGATTTTTCTTCAATAAAATTCGAGTGGAGGGAGATTTCCTCTGCCCAGGGCTGGCGTAGATGAGCGAGGGTATGAAGATTCTTTTGGAAGAAAACTTTCCAAATTCCATTTCAAGCCCTGCAGCCACAGTAATACCATTGTCCCGAGTGAGAGCTTTGTCAGCCACCGGTGGCTGACATTGTCACGAATGGGTTAAAAAAAACAAAATAGCTAATGCCTACGTCCGACATATTATGAGTCTAGGCATAGATTTCGTCAGCAAAACTGGCTGAGTATTCGGGGTTTATGTAACCATTTAGGCCTTCAAGTGAGATTCGGCGGTACTTTTTTGCTGACTTTGTGCTAACCATAAGGTGTCGTTTCTACCAGTTATCAAAGTATATTAGGAGAACTTTGGTTTTATTTTTCATGCAAACTAAACCCTTGATTTGATATCCTGATCATGTCCATGAATAGTACCCTCCTCCTTATCGTTACCACCTCGCCCCAACTGCATATTAGAATCAAAAAGAGCTGTTGAGCATTGAGCTTCTTCCCATTGGTACGTCTGATCGTGGGACAGTGTCGGTAACGGTTCTGCGCCAATCTGTTTTCAGTTGCCATGCTACAGGGACGACCAGCTTCGGATCTAGCCGATATCACATAGTTTTACTGATACTACTGTGTAATCGTCAAAATCATCCACCTTCACTATGGTTGGCACACCAGCGATGGAAGAAAGCGAAATAACTGCTTGAAACTATTCAAATCACATTGAGCTCCGCTCGTACGGGAATCTCATTGTACAGAATCCATCCCCCTACAGTATTGTACTGTATCGGACCACCGGTCGACCAGCGTAATAACTTCGTATAGCATACATTTGGAAAAAATTTAACCCCCTCCCCAAGTGGAATTTATTTTCTTTTTGACCCTATCGACCACCATCATCCTATCTGCGGTCGACCAAAGAGAGTCCCGTACCGTAGCGGTGAGGGCAGACCCCACTTATGAGATCACTGCGTTTGTGATTTTAAGGATCCTTAGCATTTTTTGTTCTCTTTCATTACTGATGGACTAATCACTGCATGCGATCATTTTCGAACCGCAGTGACTCCCTGTGCAGTACGGAATGTTGCATCAAGCGTTGAGGGGGGTTAAAAAGTAACTGACGTGGGATAGCATTAGGTAATACATACAGCTAACTTGCAGATTTGCTGCAGCATTCGTCAACCGGTCATTGATAGCTGTGAGTACTCGTCACTTTGCAATACAGAAGAATGTCAATGTCATCTTCACGTTGGTGCTGAGCTCAGTTGTGAGCTCGACGAGACTGACGTGAGTGCAGCAGTTTGTCCCCTCATTCTGCTATATTTTGTCAGTTGGGGGAAGCGGAGTGAGCGGATCCAGGCCTCCCGAGTTGCGTCAGATGTGAGCAGGAGTGCCCTTCTTTTTTTAGACTCGAGTTTATTTTTGGCAGTCCGTGTTATTCAATTATCTAACTAGCCCATAGAAAATACCTTATAACCGGAAATCAGGGAGAAAAGGCAGCACATAAGAAATCAAGATAACGAAGAGATGGTCAGGGCGCATGGATAAAAAAAACGAAATCAGAAAAAAATTTCAGAAAACCCAAGAACAGGATCACCTGTGGGCCGGCTGATCCTGGCGCGGCTAGGCGTGTAGCTCTCAGTGCTGAACTCACCAACGCTGCAGCTCTGGTTCAGGAGCGGAAAAGAGCTACGTGTCAGGAGGTCTGGAGCAGCATGAACGGTGCGGGTACGGTTCTGCTATGCCGGCGGGGGCATACTTCTCACTACAAAGCACCTCGCCTAGTACAAGTCCGTCGCCTACCCTACGTGGTATGTCTTCCTTCTTCGATCTCCGACAAGTCAGCGCTGCGTTGCCCAGACTCCAATAGGGTGGGGTCGTATTGAAGCCTTCGGGGCCGTGTTGGTGAACGTGAAGTTTTGGCGCAAAAAAAAGTCGGGAGTGTGGAAGTTATTGGTTTGTGGGATAGCAGAGGGTTGCGTTTTGCGGGCTTCGACGATTTTTGCGGAGTTCATGAAAAAAGTGAGAGAGAAAAGCGTGAGTGTCCGTTTCTCAGGCTATATTTTACCCTTCCCTCCCTCCCACCGCTCCCTCCCCGCTTTATTTTCCTTGGCGGCGTGAAGGGGCGGAGTCCGTATCGACATGGTTTGCGGAATCAAGTATCTGTAGAAAAAACCGGTGGTAATGAAGGTGGGCTCGGGTAGAGATGGGGGGGCGAAAGAGGTCTTGGGGAGCCTGTAGAAGGTTGATGGCTGGTGGTGGTGGGGGGGGGGACGGAGGGTATCCCACCTAAAGCGATGGTCGTAAGATTCTTGAATATCATGGAATCTCACTGTTGACTGTGCCCCCGAACCTATTCTGGAATCCTCCTTTATCATATTAGGTAGTTGCACGGCTGCAAGGCCCCTTCCTTCCACTGATAGTTACAACATACTCTCTGAAAGCTCTTGTTGCGAACCGAAGGATTGAAGCACTCCGCCTCGATCAGCAACGCTTTGGAGTGTGCCACACCTTCGACTTCTATTAATAATCATAACATTATAATGCTGACCGTGCACTCGGGGAGTACAAACTAATGGACTCCTGAGGTCGTCGAGTTATCTTGCTACAAGCGAGTGTCTTGATCTTTAGACGCAGTCTTATATTTTGACCGTGAAACGAATTACCTGGCGAGCCAGCACTGAGATCTCAATTTACACCGCTGTCTGCGTTGTTTGCACCGCTATCAAGAAATGCGATTATTAGAAAAGATAGATCTCAGAGCAGGGTCAACCGTCCGTTGGACAAAGTCCAACGCGACGACGAGAGTAATGCCGAGAGTGAACGTACGCACGGAGACACAGACGGCTCGCGGGTGGCGAGAGTGAATGCCGGCGCGGAGAGCGGTGAACATCGGTCCAACGTCGCTCCAATATCGGTCCAACGTAACGGTTGACCCTGCCTCAGAGAATAGATGGAGATGCATATCAGACTAGAGCAATCAGGAAGAGCTTCCCATCTTCACCTAACGCTGTAAGATCCAAATCAATGACGCTCTTAACCATCTAATTTACCTCATAATTAGATAATTAAATTTCGAATGCAACATGTAGAGAATCGGTTGACACACGTTCCTGGGCACTTTACCACCATTTGGAGCAGTGAGAAGATAATTCGAACCCTTTGTGGGCCCTAACCCTTTCACAATACTTGTTGTAATGGTCTTTGCCCAACACATTGACGGACGGATCGGAGTCCTATGCTGATGTTTCATTTCTATACTCATAACCTTACATTTCTGCGGTTACTTGATTAGACAATTCAGGACACTTTCGTCTGGCGCGATCATCACCAACAAACAGAGAAGTTGAGTTGCTCGAATCTGAATCTGCCAAATCGGGAACATCCTTACAAAGTTGTTATACACCACTGGAATGGAACGTAAGTGTTTCCAAGATTCGGCTGGTTGGATGTTTTATGATCATGAGTGGTAAATGTTCGATTTATCACAAAATCACATCTTATCCACATCTGTAAGCAGCACTGTGCTGAGCGGGGTCAATCCTATGTTGCGATAAGTACCAGCGGGGGTCGTATTTTTTCGAGTTTGTGGGTGGGGGTCGTACTCATCTCCTCATGAATTCACATGTGAAACTGGAGTGTGGCGTGAGAGGAGATGGATAGTTGACTGGGTGGGCTTAGGGCGCTTGGTGTGAGCAGCGGGAAAATTTTGTGTTTCACTGTATGCCCCCCCCCCCCCCCGCTCGACGGCTGTTTTGGAGGAAAAAGTGGGTGGAGTTAGGTGTGTCGACTGGTCTCAGAATTAAATACTATAGAAACAGCGACCATGATGGCGAGGGTGGTGAAGGGGGGGGGGTCGTGAAATTTTTGATTGGAAGAGAGGGGTCGTAAAAAATTTCCAAAAGTACCAACGGTAGGATCGACCCTGCTGCTGGGTATTGTTAGTAAGAGGAATCTCATTTGGCATTAACAATAGCGCCTGAGAATTACGCGAAAAATTAATCGTTTGAGTTTCTTCAGGTTGACACCAGATCTTATTAGAGGCCTTGCCGAGGTGAACGTTACAGTACTGCGAATTTACGACATTGACGAGACGACACCTCTCGTCGAAGCTCGCTAAATATACTCCTCATCTGACCTCTCTGGAAATCAGCGCCAGGTTCGTACTCACTTGTGTGACTCGAATTTTTGCTTCACATCAACATGAATATTTTTCTTGTGAAATTTGTACCAGGAACCTGAGATTAAAATTTTGGCGACGCGCCAAACAGTACTTAACCCTGGATTGCAAGTGTGTCAACACGTTTGCGATAGGCTGACGCGCTATGCGCGCAATGGATATTGCGGCTCAATGACATTCTTAACGCGCATGCGCCTCAGCACTTAGATTACTCCTCTCTCCCCATGTCCAAGCTTTTCCAATTTTTTTGCTTACCTTCTATAGGATTACCTTACCATGCTCTCAACGGCGTGTCCCGGTGAATTGAATAAGTTTCAGTTAAGGCCAAAGTTTTAACTTCTTAAATTTCCGTTTCATCCAATCTTTGGCTATTATTTTGAGTAAACAACATACAACAACCCTCTGTGCAGGAGTGGGTCTCACGGGCATAATTAGGGCACCAGTTGGCGCCGCACGCATTGCGCGCGCAACACAGATCTGCGGCGAATTTTGATGGTGCGCGAAAATTTTCAAATTTGGCTTGATACACCACGAATATCTGAATTCTCAGCTAAATTCTATCCGCTCCATCATCGACGGCTTTCAACCTCTTTTTCTTCGTCAACCATTATCCTCTTTTTCCCGGTCTCCGGACTGCTTCCGGACAATAAATCTCGTGGCAAACTCCGCCTACTTCGGTGCGTGCTCCATTTGGCCCCCTTCCTTTCGCCGACCTCTAACCCGTTTTCTCCTCTAGGACTTCTTGGAGCCGAGTTCTGAATTTTCGTCGCAAACTCCGCCCACTTTGGTCAAGCCCCGCTCACCGGTGATAGCTGGGCTCCACTCCTCCACCCACCTCCATCCACCTTTTTCCCTGCCTCCGGGACTTCTTGGAGCCGAATTACAATTTCGGCGCAAACTCCGCCCACATTAGCGCACGCTCCACCCAACCGTAGCAGTTAACTTCTCTTTCTTTGCTGACCTATATCCACTTTTTTCCCGTTCTCCAGGACTTCTTGGAACCAAGTTATGAATTTCCTGGGTAACTCCGCCCACCTAGGACTTGCTCCGCCCACCAATAATATTCTAGCTCTACTACTTCAACCACCCCCATGCACCTTTTTCCCGGTCTCCCGGGCTTCTTGGAATCGAGTTATGAATTTTCGTGATAACTCCGCCCACTTTGAACATGTCGCTACAAGTGCGTATTAGTAGCTCCCACTCTCTACACCTCTATCCACCTTTTTTCGCTGCCTCCGGCGATCTTGTTGAGCGAAGTTTATGAGTTTGCGTCGCAACTCGCCACTTTGCCAGCCCGCACGGTAACAGCTGGCTCCAATAACTCAGCCCACCTTTCCACCTACTTTTCGGGCGCCCGGGACTATTCTTGAAGGCGATTCAATCGAATATTTTCGTTCGCAAAAGTACCACTTTGGTCAAGCCCCGCCCACCGATGACAGCTGGGCTCCACTCCTCTACCCACTTCAATCCACCTTTTTTCCGGCTCTTTAAGACTTCCCCGACCCGAATTATGAGGGCTTGTAGAAAATGCTGTACACTTCAGAGCGCGCCCCGCCCATTCTGGGCGGGCCTCCGCCCACGTCATGTATGCAGGAAACACCTTAGACATTGCTCCCTTACACCAAATTGTTTTCTGCTCTGTAGGCTTTCTCCCAACCGAGTTATGAAATTTTTCATAAAGCACTGCTTTTTTAGAGAACGCCCCGCCCACCGGGGGTGGGTCTCCCTAATTCGATGTGACTTACCAATGCACACCTTTACCCACTTTTTGGCCCAGTTTCGAGGTCGTTTTGTCACTGAAATCGAAATCTTGGTCTTCGGTACAGTTCATTTCGACGCACGCCACGCCCTCTGTGGGCGGGGCTCCGCTTAGCTGATGTGTGTTTTGTATTTCGTGAGACCTTGCCCACCCATTCCACACTTGACCCGGTCCCTCCAGGCGGATCCCGAGGAGCTAGGGAATTTCGTGACAGACATACAGAACGACAGACGACAGACGAAGCGCTTTATAGTAGTAGCGATCGATTCATACTCTACCCATTCCAAACTTGACCCGCCCTCCTTAGGTGATTTTTGAAGGAAGAATTATAAACATGTGGGGGAAACTTGCAAATTTTTCGGTAGCGGATAGACAAACAAACCCTGGTTTATATATAGTAAGATTCTTTGAGAGGGTGCAGACAAGCAGCGCGCATCTTCGCTTAAGCCCCCTCCCCCAACTAGCGTTGTACCCTTGTTTTGCCTACTTTTCAGTTTTGAGTTCCAAAAAACGCACCTTCGTGGGACAAGCTGACGCGCTTGCGCGTCAGGCAAATCGCGCCCGCCAAATCGCCCATGTCCCATGCGGCGGAAAAAAGCCAAAACCTGCGCTGTCGTCAACGTGTTAATCAACGCTACTATTTGCCATTACGCGATTTCCGTCTTTCATCAGCGATGTCTTTTAGAAAAAATATTTGAAAACCGAGAGTTAGTGATAGACCAACCTATCAATTGTTGATGATGTGTGCCGAAACATTAAATTATACACCTGTTAGACCCTCTAGTAGCTTCATGACTGATAGATCATCACTATGCCAACATTCCAGCCATTTCAGGTCGCGCCGACTGTATAATGTTGCCAATACTTTTCATCATCTAAAAATGCTCGAAAGCCTGCGTGTATTCAATGTTGATCTTCACTTTTCACGAACGGTGAGGGATTATTGGCTCGCGGAGCGTGAATTTTCACTCAAAAAATTTGAAAAAAAAAGTCTAACTCGAATTTTAACAAAAAAAAAAAACCCAAAAACACGATATTGCATCACGCGCGGAAATCTTCGAGTTTAATGTACGAGTACCGTATTGGTAAATTAGAAAAAATAGAAAGTTATAAGCACTCAACAAAACTCTCCCATGAGCTCTGAAAAGGAGGGGACGCGCTAATGTATGTATTTGCTTAAAGTATAAACGTATTAGCGATCTCCTCTGTACTTTTTGGTCGCAATATGACTTACTTATTGCTTCATATCTTGCATCGAAACGATAGTGAGTGAGAGTGTGCTGTGGTCTTGTAGAGGAAATTTTTGAACCATAGAGCGTTTCAGAAGTGCAAAGGCACCGTTGTCGTAATTGAGCATGCTTAGTTAGAGTACACTACCCCTCTATCCTCATATCGTACTCTACAAGATTTATCATAGGAATATCGGGGTGCGTTAATGTGCAGTTTGGCCACCCCTGTATATTCCATCTAACTTGACGCTACATCGCTGCAGTACGCGCTGCGACTCGCCCGCCGACTCGCGTACGTCTGTCCCTTCTCGCCGCGCGATGGGCCTCCTGTCGGGTATCCTTGTTAGCTGAATCGACATCCGACCTTTCTTCCGAGCGAAGCCAGCGAAGTATTCTGAGATCCTTCACTCATCTAAGAATTCTTTCGACACTCCCTAACCATTGCATGAATCGCGCGTTCTCCCGCATGAAACCACTTTTGCGGCAGTGTGACCCACTAAAGGCCCACATCGCCTCAGAAATCGTGTTGGTTCCTTTTCCTTCATGCCGTATACCTTCGAGTAGGTTGTAGGCCATTAAACCTTTACTCTAAATGGGAAGCTATTAGGGGTGTCCATGCTCTTGAAACGCACACTGTATTGATGTGACCAAAAGCTGCATTCCAACCTATGTCTCGGTCAGCCCCGCCCAGGAGTTAGCTCCGCCCTCTGCCTTTTGTGTAGAAAGACAGAAGTGCTTGAATGAGGATAGAATACGAAAACGAAATTGCTCAGTACGTTCCACTCTCTAAACTGAGAAATTCTCGCTCAGGTTCCTCCGTGGGTTCGTGCCGTCTCGCATATTCACATTGAAAATTCTTCTCTTTTCGAGTTACCTCCATGGTTGGCGATGAGCGACAAATTACACACTCTAACTATCAAAAGTATGTTTTTCACGATCATTTGGCGCACCTTCAATTGGTCAATTAGAGAGGACTTCGTTTCGTTGGCGCACACCGTTCGTGGCACAGTGCAAGCGAGCGAGCGATCGCTGGGCGGTCAATCTAATTAATACGTATAGGATCAGCTAAGCTAAACTAAAAGGCTTACTGCGCGATTAGATCACTAGACCAACTGTTCTCGCGGACAAGGTTGCAGGATCTCCAACCGTAGAAATAAAGCCACTTTCGCTACTCGCAACGTATGGCATGGACGCTTAGGGCTCAGGACTTGTTCTCTGTTCTGGGCGCTCACCGTATCTTAAAATTTTTTCTCCATAGTTATTACCATCTAGAGAAGGAAGACTGTAGTCAGAGCGCTCTCTGTGGTTTCTTTTCATTTTTCGTCACTGATAGGTCAGTGAGCGCACATAATTGAAGGATATAACCCCGATTTTGCTAATAAGGAATGGTTCTTCAATCTGCGGTGTTACAGAAAAAAATCCCCGCACTGCTTTAGGAAAGTGATCAGCTCGCTTTTTACCTTCTTCGAAGATTTTCGGAAGATGAAAGTTCTTGTCCAACGTGATTCTTATAAATATATTCAAAAAAGCCATGAAACTCTCGCTAAAGACATGAGGTGCTTGATGTAACCTGCCGGGTTGACCGCCGCGTGTGCACGGGGTGTGGTTCACTAGGACAGAAAGCGACTTTTTCGCGTTTCGCAGCGCGAAACATTGTTCGTTGCGGGAATCTCGGGTCCACTGATGATTCGCTGCGGGAACCTCGGGTCCACTGATGATCAGCGGTGGACCTGAGGTTCCCGCAGCGGAAAATGTTTCGCGCTGCGAAACGCGAAAAAGTCGCTTTCTGTCCTAGTGAACCACACCCGTATGCACGCCTTAGTTTCATATATGTTGTAGTCCAGTGTGTTTCACTTAGTGTCATGACGACGACTGCATTATACGTGCCAAGCAGTTCTTCATGTAAAAGAGCTTAAACATTGTTTTCTTTTCATATACTCAACTTCACTCGA